ATTCAGACTAAAGGATTTAGGTGAGGCATTTTGTAACAAGTAAATATCACTGAACTAGTTTTTCAGAAATATCAGTTGAAAGTGCCCATCAGAAGTAGAACTCCATTTTTTCCTATATATATTTTAGGAAAAAAAATAAACCCCACAAAACTGCACTTTAACAGTTCTGTGTAATCAATTCATTATTGAATAGGAAGCAAAAATTCTCAGAGAATATTTGTACATGCAGTGTTCTCGAATTCAAATTTCATTTATGTTACCAAAACTTTTTACCTATGTCTTTCTAATTGTATTATTATTATTTGGACTTCAATGGGTGTTCATGACTTCAGATTAGACTTCTATTGCATAATTCAATCTTTCAATTTTGGGTCCAAATAATGCACAGTAATCCTTCAGTTTCCACTATTTTCCTTCATGCAGGATGTTACTTGTATGTCTTTTAACTTCATTTTTCCCCAAGCCCTGTCATCACTGTGAAAATAAACTAACCTAATTTAACTGGCATCAATTACCTCTATATGCGGTTTGTGTTTCTTAACTGGATTTTTTCCTTTAACTATCACTTACATTCAGGGACACATGAAATAAACCCTGAAATATTTATTTCTATAACCTATGCTGTATTTCTCAGATAAGCTCATTATTTATCTATTTGGAATGGCTAGTGGAGGCTAAGAAGTATTAGTGCTACTTAAAGTCTTAGAACCAATATTCAAGACAGCTTTTTGTGTTTTACCTTTGTTCTCCTTGCTTTCATTATGACACAGAGATTGGTAATTTAGAAAAAGTGGAGAAACATCTAATTAGCTCTTGATTATTGTACTCAATATTTCATCATCTTTGGCTATCTAAAACAGGTGAGAAAGCAGAAAGAAAAAGAAAACAAACAAAATCTTCTGAAGCAAATCCCAAGCTCTTCAAATATCCAAATATATGGATTTTAAAAATTCCATCTTTATTTTCAAGAATTTTAATCTATAAACCCCAACATTTCCTCATCACATTGTTTCAATATTATGAAGACTTGAAACACACTAGCTCATTATTAAAATAATATATTATCTACTTTGCTGTTCTACTTCCATTGTATTACATTATGAGTTACTCTTAAATGATGACATGGCTTAGACTAAGCACCCAGAGATGAAAAATATACATTCTAAGAATGTATTTAAATTAAGATTGTTACTTCACGAGGAAAAACACATGCAATTCTAAGAACATGTATACTGCAACCTGTGGCAAACACATGTATGTTTGCATAACTGATGCAAAATTTTTAAAAATAAATAATCCTGATTTTTATACCGTCCTTTCTATCAGGCACAAAACAAGTATGTGATGCACTGTTGTGTTTTTGGTGAAAAATTTAAAACAAACAAACAAACAAAATATATATATGTCTTTCTTCTTTCTATATATATATATCTCGCAAGACAAGTATTAAATAAAATCTTAATGAAGTGCATATAATAGTATTCTTTAGTTAATACTTAAGGCTGTACTTATTATGGCTGTTATATGCTTATATAAATTATTAGACATAATATTTTAGAAACAATAAATATATTTTAACAATGATTACATTTAAATGCTTAAAGGTTAGCCTAGTATTCTGATATTTTAATGATCCTGTAGAACATTCATATTGCATGCTTTTGGTTCACTTAATAATATCTTATGGAAATAAATAAGTCATTTAGGCTTAAAGTCAAATAATTTTGTTATAGTGCTGAATTTTTATTTCAAAATTGTGGCCACATAACTAACTGTGGTGCATAAAACTTATAATGGGCAATTCATAAATATATATATTGACTTAAAATACTACATATTGCTTATTTTAATAGATACATTAAATTATTAAATAACTACATACCAATGTCTTCATATTTATGTATGAATTTTATAATAAAACATTAAAACATATACAGAGCAATTACTATTCTAACCCAAATCTATTTATCTTAAATGCATAAGGTAATAAACATAGAACAATGTAACACCTGGAGTCCATTTACTGTAAAAGTTTATACAATAAAGAATTTAGAGAAACCATAATATCTTAGTAACAACAGACAAGGCAAAAATATCTTAAATAGAACATAAAAAACTTTGATCATAGAAGGAAAAGGAAAAAAAACTAATAAACAGAAATAAATCAAAATTAAGAACTTCTGTTCATCAAACTATATCATCCAGAGAGTAATGAGAAAATCCACCAAAGAGTTGAATACAGAGTGCAAATATTCAGTGGTGTTCTGGTAAATATTTCACAACTAACTCTCCAGAAAGAAAAAATAAAGCCATTATTTCTGGTGTTTCTCACACTATGTTGTGAAAATACTTCTATCATGACAGATTTTCAAACCCATAATTCTTGACACTTTCATAATTGGCTATGGTTAGTTTTGAGAAAGCATTTAAGAATGTAAGAATGTTAGTCTAAGAATATACTTAAATCAGGATTATTACTTAATGAGGAAAAACACATGCAATTCAAAAACCATACATACAAGGACAATGCAATCTGTGACAACTACACATTTGCAGAATTGATTCTGAATTTTAAGAAAGACATAATGCTGATTTATTAACTGGTAGTTTTAAATCCCCTATTGGAAATATACAAGGACATATATATATGCACACACATATATATAAGTATATACATATACATATATATATGGTTTTTTAAAAAAGAACATTAGAGTACTTTGAAGTCCTGTTATACTCTTTCTAGTCACTAAACCTACAGAACATAAGCAATATCTTCACTTCTAGAAGTAGGGTTTGCCTCGTTTTTCTATATTCTATAAATGAAATCATACAGTAGGTACTGCTTTGTTTCTTTTGCTCAACATTATGTTTCTAAAATTGTGTGCAGTGTTAAATTGCTCATTTTCATTGCTGTGTAGTATTTATATATATATATAAAATATATTTATATTAAATATTTTATATATTTATTAAATAAAATAAATAAATATATATTTTTATATATATATCTATCTCAGTGTATGTATAAACACAACCCAATAGAAAAGGGCAGATAATCCAGTAAGAAAAAAAAGGCAAAAGTTTTAGGACATTTCAACAATAATGTAGCCATATGAGAAATAAGAGCAAATAGAAGTGTTTAATAACATAAACTTCAAGGTATTCCAATTATAATACTCCTATTCACATACCCAAACTGAAAAACCCCAGTGTCAGTGACTATAGGGAATATCTCAACTCTCATATCCTGCTCCTAAAACTGATAGACACTTGATGAATTGTCAATATGTACTGAAGCAGAACATGTGCATATCTGATGTACACAATAAAATATGTACATGTGTTCTCCAAAAACACATGTTCCTGATATCCAAATCAACACTATTGATAAAAGCCAAAGTCTGGATGCTACTTAAGTGCCTATCAATATTAGAAAGGGTTAATAACTTGGTCTATCCACACAGTTGAATACTACACAGCAATGAAAATGAGCAATTTAACACTGCACACAATTTTAGAAACATAATGTTGAGCAAAAGAAACAAAGCAGTACCTACTGTATGACTTCATTTATAGAATATAGAAAAACGAGGCAAACCCTACTTCTAGAAGTGAAGATATTGCTTATGCTCTGTAGATTTAGTGACTAGAAAGAGTATAACAGGACTTCAAAGTACTCTAATGTTCTTTTTTTTTTTTAAAAAAAAAACTGATGTTAGTATTGGTTATATGGGTGTATTCATTTTGTAACAATTCAGTAAGACTGTGCACTTAAGATATGAGTAATTTTCTGTGTGTATATAAGATAATTAAAACACTGGAGATAATAGTAATTTTTAAAAATATTTTTGTTTCTTATTATAAATTGAAATTATTTTAAAAGTTCATTCACGTATATTTGTGAAGTATAATTTGAAACTTAAAAATAAGTACTTGGGGATAAAATTATTACTCTAAGCGCATCTAAATAATTCCTCTAAATTTCTCCCATTATCAGCATAGTACTCCTGGTAAGGCAGAGGAATTTTACTTTCCTCCTATATGATACTTGTTTTAAATAATCCTATATTATGTTGAGTGTTTCTTTAAACAGTAATGAAAAAGAATGTCTTACAGTTCCTAGAGATGGGTTGTTATCTACAATCATTTTAAAACATCTTTTTCAAGATATATTGCAATAATGCCATATGCCCAAATAAACAGGAGTGTTAATCAACTACCTTTGTGCTTCCAAGGATGTCATTTCCCCCAAGTAGAAAATGTATGATACAAATGCCCACATTGTCTGGGTTTTATATATTTATTATAAGGTAAATCTTTATTATGTTTACTATTAAGCAACAGATAAACTCTGAAAGTTGACTTACTGAAAATTAATTTCATCAATCTCACAATAACACAAATAAACTCATATTTATGTATATTCTGTAGTCATCAATTATTAATGTAATCCAGATTCACATTTTTAACAAACCTTATTGAATACATATAACCACAAGAGTTAATGAATAATTAATGCCTTAAAAACTGCCTTAGAAATCACTTGTTATTTATTACCATTTTATTTTCATAGTTACATACTTTACTCTCAACTTCCTGGAGCTCTACCATCAAGCTACATGGAGGGACTCAATTTTGATACATCTTGACAGATGATAAAACAAGTTTTACTTTCAATAACTCATTGCCATCAAATAGACTTCATTATGAAAAATTGTCATTCATGTTCAAAGAACTGTTTTCAGTGGTATCAATCTTTACCTTTGTGGGCTATGCCTTCAAATTTACATAGAAATCTATTAAAGACGATATCAAATAACTGTATTACTATAATCTATCCAAGAACATAAAAATTTTGATAGAAAATATCACATAACTTCTTCAATATTTATGGTTAAATATCAAATGACTTACTTGAATTTTCTTTATTTTGAAAAAACTGGACATTATTTAAAACAAAGGTAATGAAAATAACTCTAAAATTAGGTAAATCTTACCGTAAGCTCACAGGTTTGGAATTCAAAGAAAACGTTCACCACCCTGAGACCTAGAAAAGTATAACCCAAAACATTCTTTATTAGTACTAGCATTCAATTTAAAGAACCTTAAGAGGTCAGTAATTCAATATGAGAAACGTTATTATATGAGTAATTAGTGTACATATCACTTGACAAACATTTTTGACTACAGTATTTGTCTGAAATAGTATTAGCAGTTACTCATCTTACATCAAAGTACTGTGATTTAAGATTAATTATTGTAATTTAGGCTGCTTTGATGCAGTGATGACAAACAAGCAGACAATTATTGTCTACTTGCTTCTTGTAGGATTATAGGTAATGGATACATTTGCAAGCTTAATGTATTTTGTTAGAGAAGCTTCTCTGTTTCATTCATTTAACAATGTCAGACATAACATATATCCTGACATATACATGTGCAAACATGTACACATACAGATGTGGCTATCATACCATAATCCTACTTTTTATCTCTGCTTTATCCATTTTAATTACCAATAAATAACTCTCCATGACATATTCTATAAAGTATGTAAAAATTTTAAAGGTTGTACAGTACTCCATCATTCACTGTACATCCTAAATTATTTAAGATATTTGATTTAATAATTATGCCAGTTATTGTCTTTAAATCATCTTTAAAATAGCCAGTTAGTTACCATTGTGTGTGACTTTATGTAATAGTTACTGAGGCCAGGTGTGGTGGCTCATGTCTGTAATCCCAGCACTTTGGGAGGCTGAGGAGAGTGGATCACGAGGTCAGGAGTTCGAGACTAGCCTGGCCAATACGGTGAAACCCCGTCGCTACTAAAAAATACAAAAATTAGCCATGCGTGGTGGCGCACACCTTTAGTCCCAGCTACCTGGGAGACTGAGGCAGGAGAATCGCTGGAACCCAGGAGGTGGAGGTTGCAGTGAGCCGAGATCATGCCACTGCACTCCAGCCTGGGTGATAGAGCAAGACTCTGAGAAAAAAAAAAAAAAAGAAAAAAAGAAAGAAAGAAGGAAAGAAGAGGAGGAGGGGGGGAGGAGGGGGGGAGGAGAGGGGAGGGAAGGGAAGGGAAGGGAAGGGAGTTACTGAGCCCTTTGTAACCAGTTTTCTCATTTTGATGCAGTGGTAACTTAACACACATTATTAGCCATCAAGTTCGTCTAATGCTTGATGGATATTATCATATATGAACAATAGAAGAAAACTAAATATTTAACCTCTGCCCTCAATGAAGAAATTAGTAGTACTTGCAAACTCTTTGGAAAATTCATGAATGACTGGTAGGTCTAAGGTAAGTGCTCTACTGTGTAATCTCTAGCTAAATGCACTATAATTTAAAATAGAAAAACTGTAATAGATTGAGTCTTTTATGTCAATTCTTTAATTGTTGGTACTATTTAGGGAGAATGTGTTTTTCTCAGGTGTTTATGTATTAAACTGTTTCAACTGGTTTCTACCATAATTGAAGAAAATAGTTTATATAACTTCATTTATTTGATGAAGGAATAATACTTCATTGTTAGAAGGGATTATCATACGTGAAAGTGAATCTGATAGTAAAATGAACCACTTGAGAGGTGATATAAAATGTTTCTCTTTTTGATGAAATGTTAGAGGAAAACAAAATATCACTATCAAAGAGGTGCAAAGGAGTACACTACAATTCTTCTAGTAGACCTCCCAGGCTCATTCATTCAGTATGACTTTCTGCTTTCATTGACCCTCCAGGAGCAAGGACAGAGATGATTTCAGGAGATCTAGTCCTTATTGACATTTGTGAAAGGAGAATCCTCTCCGAAGAATTTAGTGTGATTTGAAATGCTCGTACTTTAACAAGTCAATCAATGAATTAGAATGACTTTTCTTGCCCTACCTTTTTATTTAGAGGTGCAGCAAATTAAATTTTGATTAAATGTTAAAAGGTTGAGTATTAGAGTTAACATTTGGCTGACGCTAAATATTACGATTGTAGAATAAACTTCTTGGATACACAAATTAAAAGTTTTAATTGTTATTACTATTTTATTATTAAAAGTTTAAAGTCAAGCTTTAAGGTTTTAACATTATAGCACAGAAACAATTTCTGTTAACACGATCAGATGCTAGATTACTCCTGCAGGTACTGTGTTGCATATTTGTAATATCAGATTGACACTTTTAACAGAATAATGGAATTTCAACATAAAAAGCCCTTAAAAAGATTTATGTCCTTTTGTTCTATCTAGAATGTTTATCTATATTTGAAAGTGAATATTTCGATATTAACAATAAATCCAAAAGACATCCTTGTTTGTATTACTGACATTGTTATGCTGATCAGATATATTGTGTATGTAGATTGTAAGTCATGGCTCATATTTAAGTTCAGGGATTCCAGAAATGATATTCAAAGTATTTGACTAGTTGGTCTTCCAAGGACAAATCCAATCCAGAGAGGTAATTTTAGGCATACAAGAAGGTCAAAGCAGAAACACAGTTTATTCCAAATTTAATTTACCATTTTCAGTGATATGTGGAGCTTGACTCAGGCAAAGATACATTTAAAAAGGAAAGCGTTGGCTGGGCATGGTGGCTCATGTCTATAACCCTAGCATTTTGGGAGGCTGAGGCAGGCAGATTGCTTGAACCTACGAGTTTGAGACCAGCCTGGGCAACATGGAGAAATCCCATCTCTACAAAAAACACAAAAATTAGCCAGGGGTGGTGGTGTGTGCTTGTACTCCCAGACATTTGGGGGGCTTAGAAAGAAGGATTGTTTGAACCCTGGAAATTGAGGCTGCAGTGAGCCAAGATCGTGCCACTGCATCCAGCCTGGGGGACAAAGTGGGACTTTGTCTCAAAAAAATAAAAATAAATAAAAAGGAAAGAGTTTAACATGATGTGCATAAATAACTATTTTTAGAGGAGAGATTTGTGATGAAGGGCCAGTTATTAAACTGTCAATGACATTGCCACTAGGTTGGAGTTTTATCCTTGATAAATTTTAAGAAATTTTATTTCACATAAGATTCCAGCTAAATGAATTGGATCAGGCCGGGCACGGTGGCTCATGCCAGTAATCCCAACACTTTGGAAGGCTGAGGCGGGTGGATCACCTGAGGTTAGGAGTTCGAGACCAGCTGGCCAACATGGTGAAACCCCTTCTCTACTAAACATACAAAAATTGGCTGGGTATGGTAGTGCACACCTGTAGTCCCAGGTACTTGGGAGGCTGAGGCCAGAGAATAGCTTGAACCCAGGAGGCAGAGGTTGCAGTGAGCTGAGATCGCAATATTGCCCTCCAGCCTGGGTGACACAGTAAGACTTCATCTCAAAAAAAAAAAAAAAAAAAAAGGATCAGATATACTTCTCTCATTTATACTAGTTATTTGAGGAACAACCATTCAGAAAGCACTGATGTTAAGCGAAGTAAGCAAACCACAAAAGAAATTATTGATAATTTTATAATTCTGGTATCCTAAACCTACCATGCTGAATAAGAAATTCTTCAGAGTTATGTTTGAACGACTGTCAAATTACTACAGAAATCTTGAAAAGTTATATTTTTGAGTACAATTTTTGGTATTATTTTAATATTTCTGTAGATAAATGCTTTTAATGAATGGATGTATTGGATCTATGATGTAGTGTTTGGAGAAATTCATGAAATTGGCATCTTAGATGGTGATTTCTTCCTCATTAAAAAGAATTAGAATACATTACTTCCTCTTGACTTAATTTTGCCGGGAGTCCAAAAATTGGGGGGAGGGAGTGGAAATTGAATAAAAATTATTTGGAAACCTAAAAATTAGAAAAGCATTTCCAATAATAATTTTAAATAATTATAAATACTTCAAAATGATTGCGAATAATTTTAAAGTCAGTTTGTTGGGTTTAGGAAAATAATATTTAATCAGCAATAAATAGTACTATAATAGGATTTCTACATTTTATCTCATGTATCCTCAATTGAGGCTCAGAAAAGTTTCATGTATTAGAAAGTATTTTCCACATTTTCACAGACGAGATTGAAAGCTAACAGTTGCCTGAATAAACTACAAAAAGACTTACTATCAATATGTTGTAAAGTCAAAATTGAACCTGAAGTTAATTAAATTCGGAATCCCAGTTAAGTCACATACCAGGATAGGATAATGTTAGTAGATAACATTTACCAAACATATAATGTATGTAAGATCCTGGTCTCAGTATTTTTATGTATTAATTCATTTAATTATCATAATTATATTTCTACTTTGTAGATAAAACTGAGCTATAAGTATGTTGTTCTTTAACCCAGGGAGCCTGACTTCAGAGCCTATGCTCGTAGCCATTACATCTCTATATGATAGTTGATCATTGTATGGTATTCTTACAAGTGCTATTTCAATGCACATATATTCATTTATTCTTTTCAGTTTTAGGAGTCAAGTAATTATACATTTATTATGAGTCTAATAGCATCTTAGTGGGCTGGTCCTCATTAATAACTATGTTAACATCTATTGAACACATACTAAGGGCCAAGAAGTGTGTCAAAGTCTTTAAGTTCATCTCACTTAATCTCCATAGCAATCCTACCAGGCATTATGAGCATCTATCTTGTATAAATAAGAACACTAAGTAGAAAGGCAAACAAATATATCCAAGGACAGAGAGCTAGTAAGTAATACAGTTGAGTTTTTAAAAATAATTATTTATTTTTTTAAGATCTGGGGTATATGTACAGGATGTGTAGGCTTGTCACATGGTTAAACGTGTGCCATGGTGGTTTGCTGCACCTATCAAATCATCACCTAGGTATTAAGTCCAGCATGCATGATCTCTTTTACCTAATCCTTCCCTGCCACCTCCACATCTCCCCTGACAGGCCCCAGTAAGTGCTGTTCCCCTCCCTGTATGTTCAGTTACAGTTGAGTTTTAAGCACAAATTCTCCTACTCTTCAGTTAGATGTAGCTTAGAGATACAGATTCTTTTGTTTGTATAAATTTGTGGGGTATAAGTGTAATTTTGTTGTATGTATATATCACATAGTGGTGAAGTCAGGGCTTTTA